CAGACCTGAAGTTACACGACACCAGCACCAAGGAAGGGATTTTATAAGGCGATATTAAGCTTTGCCAGGTCCCTAAAGCTGCAGCCCCGCAGCGGCACAAATCCTTTGCCTCTAACACGAGCCAGCACTGGGCACTTTTGTTCTAAGCCGCGTGATTTCTAGGAGCATCCCGCACACGTACAGCGCGGCAGCAATTCACTCTCTGCCCCGGGGAAAGAGCGAGCCCCGTTCAAACAGCATCCAGAACACAAAGTATGTGCTCAGCAAAAGGCAGCTCAGCACCAAAACACGGGCACGGCTTCGGGCAGCACGTCATGACATCCAACAGGGCCATGGCTTCGGGCAGCATGTCACGACACCCACCACAGAGCACAACGTACCGACAACCCGAACGACGTACCGGCAACCTCCCTCCTGGCACTGCCAAATATAAAACCTCACTGATTCCATCGATTACCTCAGCACGCAGCTGTCAATCAGCCAGCATTTATTTTCTAAATAAAACCAGCTCTTTATGGCTACACATCACCATGGCAGTGAAACGATGACAAAAAGAAATGGGCTTCAAATAGAGAATGGAGAGGTGGGGGGAACGACACCAACAATTCAGGAGTGTCAGTTTTAGTTTGGGTTTTTTCCCCTCTATTTTGCAGAAGCACCTGGCAGGGCTGACCCCCTGAGCTCTGCTGACTGAAGGCACCTTCACGAGGTCCCCAGCGTTGTGTCATTAGTACTTGACACAACCTTAATGACCGCCACCGTGTAATTAAGGTGACGGCTTTGTCAAGAAACACAACACAGAGCTGAGATCTTGGTTTTGGCCAAGCCGGTGTGAATACCTGGATCTGCTCAGGTGAGCAAGAGGAAGGTGACTCACCAGCCACCTCAAGCCACATTACAAGGCTTCTGACTCCCATAAAACCCTCCCAGTAACCACCCCGGGATTTCAGCACCGTCCCAGTGTTTATGTTCAAAGGAGCAAGTATGACACAAAGCTGGCACTGGGCATTAAAGGAAAGGTCTGGCAGCTCAGTGTCCTGCTGACAGCAGTGAAGCCAGCCCAGGTAACGCTGAATTACCTGCTCTTACAGGTGTTCAGGCTCTGCTAAGTATTTATTAAGACAAAAACAGCCGGCTGCAGCCTGCGTTCCTTCTCTGTCGGGAGGCGAAGGCATTTCGAACGCGTTTCATTCCTGGGGTGGGTCTGGCTGTTCACACCGTACACTGTTTGCACTCACAGGTAAATATTTAAAAATCAAAGCCAGGCACGAGGCAGGACGGGCCCAAAAAGCAGCGGCTGCGCTTCCCTGGGCTGCAGGTGCCCGGACCCCCGGCCTCTTCCAGGGGGCAGGCACCCCGGAGACATGGGGGGCTGACCCACATTAGGAAGGACCCTGCCCTGAGGGGTCACCCCAGGGACACTCATGAGGCTTGAGGGGACCCCATGGGGCACAGGAGT